CGAGATGGAAGGTCGCGTGCCTATGAATAGGGGCACACGTTGATGTCATGTGCAGGGGGATTACGACTGGCGTGTGTTGCGCAAGTCATGTGTTAGGGATTAAAACTGTGGCGTCGTTACCGAGCATTAACGCAGACTATGCTGACGCATAATCATACTATTATCTAATCTGTACTATATATAGATCATAAATAAATATAGTTAGTGCTTTTAGACTGTGTGATTTTTTTGTGTGTGGAAATTTCCGTCTCCATATGTACTCAATGCAGACTGCCCCCAACTTTGGGTTTTTGAAGGAATTTTTGAAGATGCAACATAGTAAAACTAGCAGTGGCTATAGTAATAGGATTTTACTGGTACTACAAAATCTGGAGTTTCCAAAATTACTTCATTCTTAGGAATTGAGAGAATTTTTTTGTGTGGATAATTTGTTATCAAAGGACAATGAAAACTCTGTCAAAAGGTTACTTGTATAAAATTGTATTCCTGAGAGTGTTAAGAGAGACTCATCTTCTAATATTTACTGTAAATCACTTCAATTTAACAAGAGATTAGTGTTTGCTAATTTAATTCAGCAAGTCATGAGAATCGCCTAATTTTTTAGCAGTGGACATTTCTTTTGGGTCCCTTGGCACAGAATGTCTGTGACTTTCATGTAATTTTGTTCTCGAGAATGTCATAAAACCCTCAAATCTTAAAAATTTAGTGTGCGCACATGTACAGAAGCAAACTGAAATCAACTGGCAACTATCTGAATAACTTGAACATACCACAACAAACTCTTCCAAAACTGAGCCACCCTTTGAAAAATAGAAAACAAAAGTACATTTTATAACATATATTTATATATTGCAAAGAAAGAAAGAATATAAGCAAATGTTAAGAACTGGTCCAGGGATGAAAACAATTTGAAAAATAGTCTAATGGTCATGAAATATACCTGTCGTATTGTAAGAGCCAAGCATCTCTGCAAAAGCCACAATACATGCATTCAGGGGTAATAATCACTCACTTAATTTTGAGTAAATTTTGGGGTATCTTTGAATACTCGGCTAATGTTTGACTGATCATTAAATTATTGTCTTCTTTTCTCAGGTTTGGTCAGTTCTTGGTTTCCACTTTACCGTCTTATTCTGTCAGTGAAAAGTTTATAACAGTAGAAAGTTTAGCAGCAGTTGGTCCTGACAGTGAAGCATCTACACCACAAGGAAATAATGCAGTCAAAGGTATAAAATCTCTTCACAGCCTCACTGTGCTCTCATCAAAGTTTTCTGTAAATTCCTTAATTAATTAATTAATTATTAATTGTTCATTTTGCATCATCCTGACACAGGATAATCGAGGAAACTAATAGATTTTCTATGGGATGTATCTCTGAAAGATGACAAAATTTGGCAATGTAGACAATTGGTTAAGGTTTTGACTACTGCTTTTCATTAAAAGAAATATGCAAAAATATAAACACTATATGTGAATATGCAAGAAGATGCCTGCTCAGCAAATATGCAAGAATGTGCATGCCCTGCTTTTAATCATGCAAGAACACGCAGACTCACTCATTAACATTTTTACAAATCTATCTTGCAATTTGTGATGTGAACATAACATGACATTACATGGGATCTTCATGCATCACATCATCATCACCTATGTCTATACTTATATGCGTTGATATTGTTATTATAAGATTCTTTCCTTGCGCTTTCTTTGACAAAATCAGCACTTGTTGTTGATTGTCCACACTGTTACCATAGTTTTCCTAATATGTATTTCCAGACATCATTGAAGAAGACTGGGGTGGTTTAGTGTCAGCACGGAATATAAAACTCAGAAATACTTTACTGGAAATATTTATACATTTGCTGACTCATCAGAAATCACAAATTGTTTTGCAGTAAGTCTATATCCATGTTCATTTCACTTGACATAAAATTTTAAGTCATTCAACCAAGCACATGTATAAGGTGCTTTCTAATTGGCTAGACGACTAGCCAATGAGAAGTTCTGACTCATTAAAAAAAAAGTGAATTCTACTTATGTTTGAATCATGCCTTTTTTCAATATTTTCAGCACTGCGGACCATCTTCAAAGGGTACTTGGATTTGACTGGTTATTACTTTTCATGCAAGGTCACCTACACTCAACAACTGTCATTCAAGCATTACGGATTTTACTACTCTTATTGTCCAGTCCTACCACTATGCAGAGGTTTAAAGATGGCGTCCACGGTGGAGGCTGGTTGGATGGTACCGAGCCTGTATTACACAATAGGATGGGTGTTGTCTTAGGTAAGGTACATTGTTTTGTGTGAACCAACACAGAAATGCGAAATACAATGATTTCTAATAAATGTTCTACTTTATTTTTCTTCACACTACCCTACTCTACCATCCTATTTATCTTCTCGAAAATTGCAAAATTCTATAGCAGTGAAAAGTCTTTTGGGGCCATATAACACAGAGTATCGGCGACTTTGGCCTTGCGAATGCCATAAAATCATCAAGTAGAAAAAATTTGAAACGGGAAAAATTAATCAGTTTAGAATATCAAGGACCAATTATGTTGAAGGGACATACCAAGTTTAAATGAGGTATGTCCATGCCGAAATGCAATCCAGTTCCGGAATGGCTGAAATGCTTAATTTGGATAAATAAAAATAGCTGCCATTTGACCATCTTGAATTGCATCATGAAACAAATGCATGTGTAATGTATGTGTGAAGGTTCAATGAAATTTGCCAAAGCATGTCTAACATACAGGATGCACAGGTGAAGGTGAGGTGGAACCTATTTTCAGACTACCTTTACCCTACCCTACCCTACCCTACCCTACTCTACCATCCTATCTGTCTTTGCAACTTTAGATGAAGATACTGAAACCATGCAAAGTACTTGCACATATTGTAAGACAAAGCAGTATTATCAAATGTGGATGAGAATAAGGGCATGCAACTTGGCTGGGTGCTGTGGGGATTTTCTTCACTGACGTCTTAGTAAATGTGATATTGAACAGAAAACAATAAATAGTCAACATTTCTTGCGCATCACAATGTAATTTTACTAATTCATATTGACATATTGAGTAAATTTGTTTTTAAAGTTGCTGATTGTCATTTTTGTGCTAGAAATTCATTGTGAATGTCATTGACAGAATAACGTGAGGAATTGCATGAATGAACTGCCCCTACTTTGTAGCATGACTGCTCTAGTGTTGTCAGTCAGTAAAAATCAGCCAAAGACTTGTCATTGATATTTGACCTTTGTTCCATGCTATGCACAATTTCATGCCATGATTTCAATGCTTCTGTTTTAATTACATATCCCTGTCTTTATTTATTATGTTTGTCTTGTATATCAGGATTCAACGTTGGTACACCGAGTGGTGGAAGCAGACAGTCAAACCGTGAGATCAATTTAGAAGCTTGTCATCTTCCTGGTTTTGCAATGTTACAGTGTTTACTGCCAAGACATGCCAATATACCACAGCTGTATTTCTTACTGATGGCACTACTACTAGGGCACTCTAAACACACTGTAAAAGACAACCTAGAGGTCAGTCTAGTTGTAATTATGTATAATTCTGTTGACTGCTTTGTAGAAATTAGTTGTTACCCTTTGACCTATGTTTGGTAGACTTCAAATACCCTTGGTAAGACTCAATGGTGGAAGTTCAAAGCCACAGACTCAATGGGGGG